TTAAGAAAGAGAAGAGAAGAAGGTTAGTACAGATGCATAAAGAATTTCAAACAAAATTAAAACATGTTAAATAATTTTTCTCTTTTTCTTCAGGATAATTCAAAACCAATATTCAGAAACCCACCATTGCTATGTTATTCAGATCACAGCACCCCACTCAGGAGAGGATAAGCCACGGTACCTGGTTCCATATGGAAGTCTGAGAACCAGGAGCAGAACTAATCCAGGATGAAAATACAGATTCTGCCCTCAGTGTATCTATCATCACATGAACATGTTCAAGAGGGACACTGCCAAATAGCTCTTATATAGGGAGGGAGAACCAGACCCTGAGTATTCCTTCAGCTTCACCACCAGTACCTGGTCAATAGGTCACTTCACAGATCCAGTTAAGACCTGAGTAAAATGTGAATGCTATCACTCTTTCAGTCATTGACAGTTTTATATTCTGCTGAAAGGTGAACACCACCATTCTTACTGTCACTGTTATTAAACTTCACCCAGCTTTAGGATGTAATAATATCCCCATTACTACCCCAGAGAGAGGCTGCACCTGTTCCCAGATTTGAACTTGTATCCCACAGATTCATCCCTCTCCTGCATTTAAGAGTCTAGACAACTCATTGCCCATGATGGACCAATACTGCCTCAAATCACAAGGATTTCTCCAAAGACTGAGACAAGTTAACATTTTAGGGGGGAAAAAAGGGTTCTAGGCAGCCAGTTTTGTGTACTACAGGAACCTATTACTGGCACAAAGGACAAAGGCAGCACAAAATGTCATAGCTAAACTTGACAGTTAACGCTGAGTCTGCTCCCAACAGCATTGATCTCATTAGCGAAAACACAAAGCTTCTTCTGGTTCAATGCCAGAACAAGCTGCACAACATGTGCCTGAAGTTATTTAGTACATCACAGACCAGAGAGGAAACAAAGATGGACAATCGCCTTCTCATCGGATACCAGATTTCAGTCAGGCACCCCAGATGTAATCAGATTCATTACAGGTCATTTATTTCAAAGTAGGTATCAGAACATAAGCATATCCACAGGCAAAGGAACTCTGATCCTTTTTGTTGTGGTGATCAACAGTCCACAGGTTTGTCACCTTTAGAGATTTCAAATAAACTGAAGCAACAAGGTCAGGACTGAACTGCCAAAGCTCCTCTCCTCATTTGCTTCCCCAAGATTAGTATAGGCATACCAGACTCAGGCATTACATGCAGTCCTGCTGTGCTCCTGATTTCACACAAAACGTCAAGGAGGCTCTCACAGCTGCCAACCCTCTGGTAATAAGAATCCCAGTTTCATCAGTGATCCCAGTTCCACCACAATAACCTCGCAGGCAGTGGCTTGTTCTCAGCCCACTAACAGGCACTGCAGCCCAAGAGCACCTGCTAACTCCCTGCCATTGGGTACCTTTGCCTGTGGCATGCTGGGCTTTTCATGTGGATTTCATGAAATCCACATGGATTTCCACAGCTTTCTGACACCTCCAGGTAGATGAGGAGAGAGGAGTGGAAATGTGACATAGAGAAAAATTACAGAGAAAAATGAAGGCTGAAACAAGCCTAAACATAAAAGATGGCTCCAAGATTATCCTGCAGCTTCCCTGTAAGGCAAGAGAATTTTCTCCAGTGTTGCTGCCTCACGTCAGCTCCTAGAGCTACTCTGAAATGATAAATGACATCATCAATCCCAAGTAATAACATGCAGCAAAGCTGAACATTAACTGCTACAGAAACCAACCACTTCACTGTAAAGATCACACACAGCTCAGGAAGATTTTCTGTAACTCCAGCTCTGCTGAACCTGCATCCACTTGCACATGGTTTTATATATATGCATCTCAGGTATCTATTAAATATTCATAATACTTAAGTACAAGCTGGTGCTTATCTCCTCATCTGTCTGCATCATAAGCTTTTCATTGCCCTCAGCAGAAGAAGGAAACATACTTGAATGTGTAAGCTAGGTCACAGAAGAACAAAATAAAGGCAGGGGCAAAATCAGAAAAGGACTGAATGAGATACAATTAGGAAGAAACATCCATGGCAAGAAGCGTGTATTTCTATAAATAGGTTATTAGTAAAAAGAAGACCAAGAAAAGAAAAGGTTTGCTGCTCATAGGGGAAGAAAGCTGTCAGCAGCAGATCTGTAAATATCAAAGCATCAAATTCATTTAGCTGTAGTCAGTTCACTAACACCAGTAGTACCAACAACACATGGGTTAATATCTCTGCCTAGAAGAAGGGAAAAGGCATTTAAAAGAGTAGCTGGATGTTTTGAGTTCACCTGACCGGGTTAATTTTAATCATGGGATACTTGAAGAGTGTGAAACAGTGTCAGAAGCATTAGCAGTTATCTCTTGGAGCTCTTGGATAGCAAATGATGAGGTCCAGGAAAAGGGAAAAAGGCAGCACCACACTCTTATTTAAAAGAGGTGAGTGGAGGGCCTAGGAAATTTCAGACCAATCTATGTGGTACTGTAGCAGCAGCACAGATTTGTAGCTTAGATATTGTAGAGATACACACCAGGAAACAGTTAATAGGGAGATGCAATGCATATTATTAAGCTAACTGATGTAACTTATGAAACAAACCCCAAAGCAGAGATGGTTTCAGGAGCAGTACTGGAGCAAATAAACAAACTACTTAAAAGAACTGAGAAAAGAGAGAGGGAGGGATGAGTAAAAGCCAGTAACAGATTTGCCAAGAACCAGTCATGTCAAACTATTGTAATTTCCTTCTCTGACAAAGCAGCAGACACAGAAGACAGAAAGATAGAAAAGAGTAAATGCATGTCATATATCTTGACTTAGTAAGGCTTTTGGCATGGTCTCACATGACATTCCCCAGCACAAACAGGCTAGGGAAATACAGTTTAGATGAAACTGTTCAAAGACTGGTGAAGAACTGGCTGAGAAAAAAACCTACACGCTCAGAATCAGCAGAATGTCACTGTTGAAGTGAAGCATACAGGGACTAGGTAGGGAGACCTGCAGAGATCTGTAGGTCTCTGCCCAGCTCTGCTCCTACTGAATATTCTTATGGGCCAGCTGAACATGGGAATGTGAAGCGCATTTGTTGCACCTGCAGGTGACAGAACTTGGGGCACTGCTCTGCTGTGGTTACATCCGACTCCTGCTTGCAAACAATACATACAGTAAAAACAGCAAGGACAACCCTCCACATTACTAATTTGAACATTTTTAAGTGATCCAATGAAAATGTTGCTGTTGTCTGAATGACCAAACAGTCTTTATAGGCATCAGCCAGGAAGGCTGACGGGGTGGACAGCTATTGCAAAAAGCCACTGACAAGGTACATACTGACATCCTAATAACTGGCATTAGCTTCTGAAATCACATACTAGGCACAGTAAAAATTATCAGTGCAGAAATTATTATAGTAGCTAAGAGACAATCCCTGAAAAACACTATTCATTTTAGTGGCAAATTACTGGGTAAGTCTCCAAGCTGAAGGAGGAACAGTTGTAGCTCGCACCATTCCTGTATAAAGTGACACAGATTTACAGACCATAGAAAGTGAAATTTTGTGTCTTACACATACCAACTCTTAGCCAAGAAATAATGTTTTGTAGTTCTAGCCTGCCAGGGAAAACCACTGCAAAGGCAAGGAGTGAGTAAAATGAAGGAAAAAGATAGAAAGAAAGGAAAAAACAACACAGCCGGAAAAATCAACCCACTTATATTTATAGTGGTCATTTTCCTGTCCTACCCCAGCTGAGAAGTGTGATGCAGCCCTCCCTTAGAAACGGAATGGCAAAGAATACACTGCAGAATGAACACACTTCATTTGCTCTTCCACATGCCAAAACATAAAGGAAATATGTAAAAAATGCTTTTATTCACCTACTGAAAGATACAACCCCTGTTTATCACACAAGCCAGCTTTGCTCCCCATTACTGCTGCTGAATTTTAAAAGAGAAGCAACACATTGAAAGAATCTACCTCCACTAAAAGTACCTTATCTTTAAAGCACACTTAATTTTATTATGATCATGGAAGTGGTGCATTACCTGCAGCATTTGCTACCCAGAACTCACTGCTTCCCACAAACAAACAGTAAACATCAAGAACATGGGCGCATACATTTTGCACTAGATTTGGAGCAAATGAATGGAGCTAATCAAGTCGCCTATCTCATGATTGTTTTTACAGTTCACATCCAGCTGAGTTTACAGCGTGGCAGCAAGCAAGGGGTAGAGAGACAGCATTTCGCAAAGGCAATTTGAAAAAGTAATTGGCTTAAGTCACTGTCAAAGCCAACAGGGACACAAGTTTATAGGACAACTGCTAACAAGGCACAAATACGTCTTGTATGAAAGCTACTGTGCGTTTAACTGCTTGGAAATTAGTGTGTAATGCCAGGCTAACAACACAGTGAGTACCATATCATTACAAGATTATAGCCTGCTGAACCACAAGGCAAGAATACAGGTTATATGCTAATTAGGTTTGGATCTACTAAAGGTAATTACATGGTAATCTCCACGTAGTTACATGGTGTTTAATAGGAAACCCTATTAACTAATCATATAATTAAAGAGCAATTGCATGATACTCCTGCTCTGTGACATCCACGGTGGCCAGAGAAATTAAAGCTCATGGAATTTCATGGCACAACCTGTTCCTGTTATCAGACTTTAGGGCAGAAGCATGCCTCTCAAGTGGGCAGGAAAACGTAGCAGAAGTCAGAGCACTTATCGCTCTCTCAATACACTGAAAATAGCTCCTCATACCCAGGACCACTGTTTGTTTCCACAAAATTACTAGGAAGGGAATCTGACCGTGTTCTTTGGGTTTGTCTTCACTTGATTTTCCACTTCCCATTTTTAATCCCACCTTCTCTATAATTTCATTTTCTGTAGCCTCTCAGTCACAGCCATCCTGTCTTTTCTATCAGCATGTTTAAGGCAGCACTGAGTCACCCAGTGTCCCTTCACTTGATCAGAATCGTTCTCCTCTTTTCTTTCTCTTAGAAAGTTTTCCACAATTTCGCTATTTTTCTGTTGTTGAAAACTTGATCAACTCTTTTCCTTCTTTATATTTCCTTCCCCCTCTTCTGCTTTCTTTTCCTAGGGACTCTCTTTGTCTCCTTTCTGCAGAGGACGCTGCCATGTATACATAATAGAGTTACTGAAGCTCTCCCCTCTGACTTTCCAAATCCAGGACTGCAGCCAGCAATCTCCTTCACTTTCCTTCCACTGGCCAGGCATACTTCCTGCCTGTCCACAGCAGAAGTTGCTCACTGCTGCCACACTCTTCTCCAGACCGATACTTAGGCAACCTTCCAAATGGTTCCTAACAGGTCACACCACTGAACACAGCACAAGCTGCGCAGCACTGCCAGGTGGGGAGAGGAGGATGAGCAACGTAGATCAGGTCACAGCACTGGTGGAATTTCAAAATGCCTCTCTCATGAACGGGTGATGTTGCAAAAACAGTTTAATTCCAGAGTGGACTGAAAAAGCTGGAATGTCCCACAAAGCAGCATTAAAAATCCACATCAAAACATCTCATTCTTGTTTTCATGGTTTTCTTTTTATTCTGCATTTCATTTCGTACAAACTGAAATCAGGGTTATATAATAGCATAATCTACACCAAAAAGCAAGTGAAAAAAAATCCAAATCGATGTACCCTACACAAGTCAGTTTCAATGAATAAGCATTTTTCAAAAGCAAAAGGTCTGTCCAAAGGTTTCCAACAAAGCCCGTTTCTGGGGCTTCCCTAGCCGGATGGGGATGTAGAAATCTCCATTCAAAACTTAAAGCAAGTGAAATGTCAGACTAACGAACTGCTAAGGGCACAACGTGCAATCACCCGTGGACTGTGAGAGGACTATGCACTCTGCTTAGTTTTAAAATACCAAGTCCAATTCTGAAGCCCAAGCCTCAGTATGCTGCTGAACCCCCCAGAAAGGAAAGGAATGTGCCCCCTTTTTGGTTTTGACAGACCTCCTTCTGCCTGACCAGAGCACAGCACCAACAGTGGGTACCGCTCCATCCTCAGCAAGTGAGGAACAAAATAAAGATGGGTACAAATACTGGAAAGAAGAGAAGCTCTTTGTAAAAAGGTAAGCAAAGCTGTGCAATGTTATAGCAACATATAGAGAGGGAGAGAGAGCTAACAATATTGTCCTTAAAAATAGAATAGACAAAAGAAAGCAGAAATTACAATCGATGGTATGATTCAATACAATGCCCTGTTCTCACCTTTCACTTTTTCCTATTTGTTTGCTCTATGCTTTTTATAAAGATCTAGAGCTGGATTTACCCAACAATAACCAAGGACCCTGGGGAGTCTGCTGTTATCCTTGAACCCACTGCAGCCTGAAAAGCAGTGGGTTCTGAGTGAAGAGAGCCCAAATAAGTGCCTATAAAATACATTATTTTTGTCTTTCCAGTATGCTGAACAACTCTTGACTCCTTGGTGGGTGATACTTCTGCTTTTGTCCTCCCACGTGAAGGGCCTCAAAGGAACGTGACAGACTTGATACAGTCCATTGTTCCAGTAGACCAGTGATGCTAGGAAGTACCATTCCTTTCAGTAAAATTATCCCACAGCTTTTAATTGTATAGCTCCTAGAAGGGATAATGCAATGCCAGTACAGTTCAAAGGTAGAGGTAACAACCTTTATTAGACTACCTGGTAGAGTTGGAAAGGCTGGGTAAATCTGGAGGTTTCTTCAGTTCTATAGCAGTATTGCAGTACTAGTACGTTGAGTTTATACTGAAGCTTCTGTTTCCAACCCAAAGGCCAAAGTTGGGGTTGAAGACTGATGGGCTCCCTGAGCTGATACCCCAAAAGATATTCTCTCCACCTGCAAATGTCATAGAATCATAGAATAGTTAGGGTTGGAAAGGACCTTAAGATCATCAAGTTCCAACCCCCCTGCCATGGGCAGGGACACCTTGCACTAAACCATGTCACATTGCTTATTTTGTTGATCTCTCACAGCTGCAACAAGGTACCACCTCGAGCAGAGGAAGCCTCTCACAGTGCACTGCATTTACTTACAGCTTGATGTATCTGTATGTGCAGGTTGATACCTGATCAGGATGAAAGACACCCCTTGGTTACTCCCTGTGAATTACAGGTAGGGTGCTGTATTTTGTGTTGGGTATCACACTCATGGCACCACACATGCCAAATTATACCATCTGCCCTAACTAAAGAATTAGGGGTTTTCTTCATTTCATCTTACTTTACCTGTATTTCAGTCCTACAGCTCCTAGTTGAACCCTCTGAAATACAGAGGCCATTGTGAAGCTAATGGGAAGGGGAAGAAGGGGACAACTACATGCTTTCATGGCTATTTCTACCTCAGCAGTGGAAGGGATGGGAGGTGGTGTGCACTCCCAAGTCTCAGCACAGATTTTACTTCCAGGATCTCTGAGCACCTACTGGTGTTTCAGAGAGAAGAAAACAAAAGCCTGTATGCATCAGGAAGGTCCCCTGAAAAGGACTGTGACACTGAAAAATTATGTCGATTGTGAAGCACTCTGGCACTGGAACAAGTCTGCTGGGCCAGAATATTCACACCACACAGCAGTTCCCACGTGTTCTGCATTCAATGGCAGCTTGCTAACCAACAGTCCCCCAAGAGCAGGGGAATGTATTAGCATATGGACTTGGCATCTAGGTTAGTCAGTGCCGAATCAAATGTCTGGACAATTAAATAAAGCTCAGCAACAAGAGCGAGTACCTCCCAGTATTAATTCAATTTAGAGCTAACAAAGACTTATTAATTAAGAGCAGTGGTTACTAGTGATTCGGAGAAAACTCCAGGAACAAACTTGCCAACAAAGTTTTCAAGCTGACAAGCAGGTATTCTTTATTGTGGTGCTGGGAGACATGGGGGATAGCTCCTCCTAACGTCTGTCCCCATATTGCTATACAAGCCATCCTTATACAGTCCTTATATAAGTCCCCCTTGTCTCACTAGAGCAGAAGAGACTATGAACTTCCCTCTTTCTTTTGCGCTGTAAAATTCTGTATAAAAGTCTGCATAGAGTGCTGATATTGACACATTTCAGAAATGCAGTTCCATTTTACTAGCATACAGAAATAGGCTTCCAAAGTGGATTATGGTTTAGTAAAGGACACTGGAGTGAAGAGATCATAGAATCACAGACTGAACTAGGTTGGAAAAGACCTTTAAGATCATCAAGTCCAACCATTACCCCAGGACTGCCAAGACCACCACTAAACCATGTCTTAGGGCCTCATCTACATGGATTTGAACACTTCTAGGGATGGTGATTCCACCACTCCCCTGGACAGCCTGTTCCAATGCCTGAGCACCACCTTGGTGAAGGAATCTTTCCTAATATCCAACCTAAACCTTCCCTAGTGCAACCTGAGTTCATTACCTCTTGTCCTATCACTTGTTACTTGGGAGTAAAGACCGGCACCCACCTCTCTCCATCCTTCTTTCAGGTAGCTGTAGAGAGAATGATTCTCTCCATCACTCTCTTTCCACCACCACTGGGAGCATCATGACTCAGTCTCTCAACACCCACTTCAGCCCCAAAGTCGTTACAGCAGTGCCTGCTTTCTCCTTGCGCTGTGCAGCTCTGGGTCTCTGTTCTTACAGCTGTGGAGCTGTTTAAAAACACCACGGGGCTATTATCCCAGATGCAACCTGTGAGGGAGCTGAGGATGGGAGCAGTCACAGGCATGGGGCAGGTGGTTTCCTGAGCTCCCAAAGCAATTTTTAGTCACTGATTGTTCACTATTTTAAACTATTTTAAATATCCATTATCTCACAAGTCATTAAATAGTTACAAACTCTCCAGGAACCCCGGGGACACCGTGACTGAGCAGTACCCAGGGGCTGGTTTTGACAAGTACAGTCCAAACTAGGTGCACCAAAGCCTAATGGAAATGGAAACCAGCCATAGTCTGTGAGAACAGTCAGTCACCCTAGGCCCTCAGGGTGGAAAGGACATCTGTCATACGTGTGAGCAGTACAGGAACCTGATGGTGAGCTTTAAGAACTGAAACTTGCCATAAGCAATGATTTTGGGCCATACCTCTAAATTTATATAGAAAACACACTGACTCACTTGGCAACCATGACCAAGACATTTTACTTGGCCCGAATCTCTAACCTTTTATGTGTTTAGTAGACACCAGTTATTAATGCTCATGCTGTATGTTTCCTAGTGTATCCTTCTTTTCATCTCTTCCTCTACCCAGGATGGGAACATCTCACCTCTTTGACCTTCACCACACACAAAGGCTGTTGCTACTGAGGAGCTCTTTGTGCTAGCACTCCTTCATCAGATGAAGGAAGAAAGAGAGAGGAAGTACAGATAGGAAAGCATTAGGTATGAAGAAAAACCCTGAACAAAAAGTCCAAAAAGTAAATTCATATGGATCAGTCACCCCTTCACCTCACAGGTTGTTTATGCACATTTGAGACATTACCCGAATCTGAGGGCATTGGGAGCACTGCCAAGATTAAGGATTCTAAGAGAAAATAAAAAGCTCAGCAGAATTGAATATATAATAGAATCTAATGGTTGTAAGTTTAAATTACTTACAAGCCCAGCAGAAGCAGGGGCCAGGACTGGAGAAACAAAAGGCAGAGAACACAGCCTGTCTGCAGAAAGTTTCAAGTATATATATGGACAAAAAAAAAGGAAAAAAGGTAGACACAGAGGTTGTGTGTAAGCCATGTAAAGTAACTCCTTGGTGTGAGCACAGGTTTTACTTCCTGGATCTCTAAATACCTAATACCAGTCTAGCAAGAAGCAGAACTGCAACTAAGAGATGATATAGGCACAGGATTGCAGCACTGGTAACTGGAAGAACAAAAGGGATAAGAAGGTAGGAAGCAGGGGAAGATGGGAGCTAGAGAGAGGGAAGGAAGAGAAATTGAAATGTGGAGACTTGGTTTTATTCAGTCACCACTTACTGATGAAGCACTTTTTCCAGAAGTTCCCAACCAACTGACCTGATGTCTTCTGTATCAGGGACACAGCTTATTATAGTCTCAGTGTTATCTATAGGGATCCACTTGGTTCAAAAGAGCAGAAATCAGAGCAATTAGGTTACTACACAAAGTCCTTACTAGCCCTTTCATTCAAGTGTCAGTAGGAATTTGCTGTGTTTGTCTGATGTCAGAGGGAATGAGGATGTTTGCATCCAGCAAAGTCCCTCATTTTTTCACTCTGGTCCATCTAGTTCAGGGGATAGGTGAGCTCCTTCATGGAGTCATCTCTCCAAGACCTTCATTCACTGAGTATTTATAGCTTGCCACACTGCAGCCACTGTCTGTTTCCTGCCACAGAATTTCCTTCACTGATAAGACCTATCTACAACCTTGCTCATCCAATACCACAGCAGCCGCATTAAAATAGGGCCATGGAAAGCTAATCCTTTGTCAGTGTCTAAGCAATAATTTAACAAGAGTGGGGTTTTGCCCTGTATCTCCACAACCTGCAATTCTACAAACTTTCACGATTTCACTGAAATATTCCTATTTTTTCCCTCATACTGCAGCTCTGTGAGTTTATTATGTTGACTTCCATTAATACAAAATAACGTCCTAGTCTCCACAGTTGCAGAAACATGAATATAGTCTCAAGTAGAGTCTCAAAAACTGCAGGCAAATAAAAAGAGGTTTTTGGTTAGCTGATTGGTTGGTTGGTTGGTTGGCTGGCTGGCTGGCTGTTTTTTTACTTCTCCATGGGCACATCATGAGTTTTACGCAGCCTGATGGCTTTTAAATTCAGTTTTGGCAGTACTGAACTTGGGATCACTCTGAGTCAATATTAGCTCTTGATTTTCTGTTAGCACCTTCACTTTCATTTGCCTATAACTGGAGGTCACATCAAGAAATATAAAATCCATGTTTTAAAATATTAACTTTCCTAAGACCTTACAGTGACTCTATTTTAGCCACTCTGACCTCTTTCTCTCCTGGAAATAAAGCCAGAAAAAGCCAGCACTGACTGAATTATCCCTTTTTAGCATCAGCTGGTGCCAGCTGAAGTCTGTGAGAGGTGTCTGAAACATCTGGTTCCAAGTTGGATAAAACTGTTTTGCACTTCCCTGTAATTTCTTATTTCTTTCTCAGCTCTAGTTGTTCCATCTTGTGCAAATACACCGAGCATTCACATTTCAGCTCCATCACCCACTCAGATCCCTATTTTGATAATGCTTCCTTTGTAATGCTGTTTAAAGCTGTACATCAGAGAAGAGACCAGGATTTGAAATGTTCCATTAATTCACACTATGCAGAAAAACCAGTACTCAGCAAATGTCCAGATGCCCTGACAGGCCATGGACAGACTGTGCCAGCTTGACAATTATCATTTGTTTAGTAGGTATGCCATGCATGTAAGGAGATACGCGTAAAAGCATATTGGAAACAGAGAGGTTATAACTAGCTCATCAAGCCCCCAAGCCAGAAGGAAGCAACCTTGACATACAAATCCAAGTGGTAAAAACCTAAACTCTAACTAAGCACATGTCAGTACAGAAAAGGAAATAAAAGGAAGAATGTGGATGACTGCACTGTTACAGGCTAAGGTCATCATTCTAATGCAAAATCAAAAAGCAAAACTGGGTACTGGTTTTGCTTCCTTAAATTATTCACAGTCAGTGGTGACCTTCCAGGGCTGGGTTCCCTGTTCGGCATTTCACTGTCTCATTGTATTGAAAAGATGTTTTCCTTGACCTTTGCAAAGTTTCCCCTTTTGTGCATCATTACCTGGTATCTTGATAGAAAATGTAGACATATACAACAGACAGAAAGAGAAAAAATCAAACTCCAAACTATTTTCTCACTTCTCTAAAATGAAAACTAAAATATCTTTTAAACATAAATTTTTAATGGTTTTTACAAAAAAAATCATTTATTAAACAGCATGAGCTTATTAATAAATTACAAGGTAACCAGACGTAGAAGTCACTTTCAATGTGTTGTTGAAGGTGTTTATGCTAATGAGCACAAGCAGAAGCTTTTTTAGATGTTTGTTTGTTTGCATGGGAAAAACACTAGAATATGGTTGTGCCAAGAACTAAAATAGAAGTGACAGATAGTTATATAGTGTTCTTAAAGAATATCTGGCAGTATTTGTTCATACATGCTCAAGATGACCCCCCCTCTGCAGAAGTGATTTCCACTCACCATTTTCCAAACCAGTTTCCTGGCAGCCTCTTATTCCATAAAATGCATTTTCATCCTTACATGAGTCTTATCTAGACAACTGAATCAATATAAGTAGTAACATTTTAATAGAAAAAGTATTTTAATTGTTCTGTGAAAGCAATATCAAATCACAAACTTTTTCTATCTCTGGCATATAAGAAAGCACATTCAACCCAACAGGAGGATACCACCATAACAATGGTGGAAAGAACACCACTCCTACCTAAAGGAATAGGAGAATGGCCTTTGCTTGGTTATTTTAGCATAACAGTTGAAGAAGATATTTCTTATCTCTTACAGCTCTTTCAGAAGTACATTTTTCCCCAAAATTAACTCAGGGATACTAAAGAACAGCATGAGGGATATCAGGGCCTTCCACCACACATGGGTGCAGGCAGTGACAGCAGCATGTACCAGACATAGGCTGGCATTTAGCATGGATGTTTACAGTCAGGTCTATATGCAACGAATTATGAAAGCATACAGGTTTTAGAGCATTACTAGGCACAATATATAAATAAACGTACCAAATATCGTACTCTCATGCAGTAGCTACACAAATGCCTTGTTGTTGTACGTATGCTGAAATTACAGGCATAGAGGAATCTGGAGTGAAAAAGCTTCCAAATAGTTTTGGTAGTGTGGTTTCCATCCTTTCCTAGAGACAGGTTTACACCGCTTTACAGGTATTCAGTTAGTTCAGACCTGTTTGGTCCCTGGAGCAGGGATTCTTTTTATGCCAGATTTGAGTATGTGGGTATTTTCTGTAGAAATATTACACCTTCTATGTATGCAGGTATCGATAAAAAGCTGTACAAACTGTATTTAAGGTGGCTGTATCAGAGACTGAGATGATTCCATCGTGTATCTTTTTAACATAACAAAATAGGGCTAAAGCCAAATTTTCCTCCTCCTGGAGACAGCCACTTAACCCAAGCTATGACCTGTGCCATCTCCTTGTGTTTTACTGCAGCAATACAACAGGATGGATTCTCAGATGACACATCTACCAGGCAGAAGTTTCCTTGCCTCTGCTGTTCACATCTGTGACGAATACATTTATTGTGCAGATCTTGGGGGAAGACTCCAGGGGCATCTGATCAAGTCATCTCAAAACCGGACAAGAAGAAAAGAGGCTGCAAGGCAGATCTCTCATTCAGTACATGCTGTGGTACTTTACCAAGCCACACGAACTGTGCATTAAAAGGAGGGAGGAGGCTGGCTCCCTTTTCTTTTTTGAAATCTCAATATTAGCATAAGCCGGGTCAAAATAATGTTATAAATGTAAATTACAGCATATCCTGAAATATAAATGGTAAGCTTTTAGAAGAGAACATTACAAAAACATAAGTCACAATCAAGTAGTTGAATTTAGAAGCAATTACATGTGGTAGATATCCTGTCATTATATACTTAGAAAAAGATCTGAAGCAATTGCACACCTATTTATTTTTGTCATAGCATTTCAAATTCATGCACATAATAGGAACTGCAGAAATAATTTTAACAATGGGCTGGTAGCTGGTATAAAATGTACTAAAATTTGGAATAAAAATTCTCATGAAATAAGTTGCAATTCATTCCAGTTTCAAAATCAAAACTTTTATATTACCGATTCTGTTTTGAAAATGTAAATATATTTGACAAGAATAAATAAATGTCTTGGAAAAAAGCTTATTTTAATGTACTGCATGGGTAAGCATTAAACATGAAATTATCAGAGAATGTAAGTTTCTTGGTATCTGTCATGAAGGTAAAGCCAAGAAAAAGGGGTATTTTACGGGAAAGACCTAAATTAACAGAATCTACCTCAAATGACTACACTGCTTGGGCTGGTGCTTTCTGAAAGTCTTCACCCAAATATTGCTGCTAGCTCCAAAGCTTCCTGCTATTCAGAACTCACACCTAGGACCTAGCTCAATGCTCTCTGTTCAGTAACTGAGTCATTTAAAGGAAGCAGAAAAAGGTGAGAACCAGGGAGGTTTGGGGTTGGTTGGTAAGGGGTTTTTTGCAAACAATGAACGGCAAAAGGAAAGTCGATGAAATGAAAGCCAGTGCCTTTTCATATCATGAAAAATCGTATGGAAAAAAAGTGTTTATTTTGCCTGTCTCTGCCTCTCTGCAAATGCAGTTTTGTGTGGTTAGTTGCGAAGAAACAGTTGATCAAGTTTCTAACAAATATAATCTGATTTTCTTTATCCTATTCCTATCAATGATTAGATACTCACAAGATAAACAGCCATGTGCTGTTTCGTTCTTTTACAGTCACTGAAACACCTTGTTGATGACGCACAAGGACTAGGCAATAGGAGTCATCCTACCGCAAAATTGTTTGTGAAGAGTTGATGAAGAGTTTAGCACCATGACTTTACTCTGCCATTAAAAAGGTGACTCTGTATGCTGTAACAGCTCAACATATCTGTGATTTGCAAGCTGCTTGGAATGCAGAATGAACCTTAAGGGTAAAAAACCTACCCCAAGCCACTTAGTTTCTTTTAGATTAGTAAAGGCTGTTATTTCACCCCGGAATGAAACAGCAAGATTAAAGTTATGAAAGGAAACATCCCCTTGTTTGGGGAAGTTACAGCAGGAAGGGTGAGTGTCACAGTCATTGGGAGAAAAAAATGTGATGTTTCTCTTTGGAAAAGAGCACCCAGGTCAAACTTCGAAATTGAAGAATTACTGCGTTACACATTGTGAGAGCTCCCTTATAAAACCACAACTCTGCACTTCTGCTCCCCTCTTCTTTGCCTCCTAGTGAAAACCACACTTCTGCGGGACATTTTTCTTCAAACAAAACCTGCAGTTAGTTTGCAAACACACACAGACTTGTGGCTATCTCCATATTTCCATGTAGTCTCGGTACTCACCTTTGCATGCAGAGCTTCATGCCTTCTGAAAAACTGTGTCCAACTTTTCCTTTCACCAGTGTGGCACCCGAGCAGATCTCACCTGACACACACACCCCTCACCAATCCCAAAGAACAGGCAGGCAGTGCTGGGCAGGCGGTAAAGTAAAGGAGGTAAAAGGAAAGGGGGTAACAGGGATCTGTAATGCCTGCATTAGGAAGCATTAGGAGGGACAGGCTGTGCTCTCATCACGGGTTCTAGTAGATGGACCTTGCTCAGCCTGTCACTGAGCCCCAGGGCTGGCAGCCCATTCCCACAGCCTAGCTGTCTCCCAGGGGGTCACTTGGTTGGGAAAATTTCCCATACCAGAAAATGTTAAGGAAAGCACCTCTGTTTTATAGCTCTCACAGTGAATTAAGTGGACTGATACCTTTCCAGAGAAGTCAGTGCTCTGAGCCCCTCTAACACAAAGAAGGAGGTTGGGCCAGGGTGTACATTACAAATGCCAACATTCATTTACACAATGTTCTGCAGTCCGTGTGAGTGCTGATTGTCAGAATCACTGCACCACACTGCGATGAGCCAGCGTGTTGCTGAGGGCCCAGCAC